CTTCTCCTCCTCTTCCTCCAAGGCCCGTCAGCTTTCCGTTTGTTTATTTAATTTTTAGACTAAAAAGGCCATGAGTAGTTTCCCCTTTTTAATCACGCGGGTGTTTGTCATTTATACGACATTTGGTGCGTTTAGCTCCCAAGTACAAGGGAACGGCTGTCCCGTCCCTGGCCTAGAGCTGCGCTCGCTCTGCCAGCAGCGGGATTGCTGCCCCCAGGAACGACTGCCCTTGCTTTAAAGATGCTTCTTTAATTCCCGTTTTAGCAAAAAAGTTGTGATGAGGAAGTCGGGCTATGACTTACTTCATTACCTTATACTTCTGCTGATGATAAATGCAATGGTATAAAATCCCGTTCGCTGCTCCGGAGCTGCCCTAGCTCCAGAAGGCGGCCTTGCGCTGGTAGGGAAAAAAAAAATCTTACCGAAGCGAGTAGCTACGGCTTTGGCTATGCTGAGGAAATGAGCCTCCTCAGGAGAAGGGCTACCCTTGCCTGTGTATTTTGTGCGGGCTTGGTGTTTGTAAAGGGAGGAGTTATAGTTTAACTGCTGTCTAATGCACGCCTCAAGTTTTGAAAGCCTGTTGCATAATTCCTAGCAGTTAAATTTGTATCAGGTGATGCCTGAAGGAGCCGATCTTGCAGTCACGAGTCGTTCGGGTTTTCCAGCAAGTTCAGTAGTTGCAAGGCTGGGTCTCGGGATGGTCAAAATTGGGAGTACAAACACTCAGAAATGTGGTAGTTTAATGCTTCTTAACGTGCTTGTTACCATCTTGTGACATGCAAGGTGCAGTGGGAGGGGAAATTGAAAATTTAAGGTGTGCAATTTAGAAACAGAACTTAAATGCGTGGCTGGCATAAGCCTTTGTTTTCTAACTGTGTGTTCTTTTTCTAGCCATACTCTCTTCTTTTTTTTTCTTTCTTTCCCCTCCCTTCTCCCTGTGCTCCCCCCCCGCTGGACAAAATAAAGGCAGACATGCTGAAGTACCCAGCAAGCTTGGAGAAGTAGTCCACAGGGAAAATCAACAGTGTCTCAGCAGGGCTGCTGGCCTTACTATGGACCAGGAAGACCCGTGTCCTTGAGTCAAGCTTGACTCATGGACCCATCTCATGGCTGGGGTATTTGTGCCATTCGGTAGCCTTGGGCAACTGAGTGTGTTGGACTTTCAGGTTGTGCTCTGGGCAAGCTGTGTACACCAGTCTGTCTTGGTAACAGGAATATAAGAACCTTGTTCTAAGTGAAATACAGTGAGTGAATTTGAAGGAAATTGGGAAAGGAAGACTTATCAGAAAGGTTTTTTGCTGTTTGTGTATCGTGTGGTATGTAGGTGGATCCGCTCTTCAGTTTTTGAGGTTTAATAGGAATAATGAATGGAAACAGCAATCATAAGTTCTTAGGCCTCTTTATCTAAATTAGCATAGAGGAATAGAATATTTCTTTCTGATATTGGCAATATTCTAGAGTAAAAATAGCTCCATCTGGGGAGCTATTACTGTAGGACAGTTTCCCAGAGCAAACCGGTCAATCCCTGTGTAGACAAACTGTTACAAGAACCTTTATGAGGCAGATCTCAAACCATCCTCTACCCAGGATCTATGTGTCTGATTTTGTGAGTATAAGTCACCCTTTGTAATCTGCATCATGTCCACTCCTTAGCTATCAGCACTGTGTACAACATGACTTGTATTCACAGGTCTTAAGTCCTGTTTCTGCAGACGGGCACCTCAGCAGCCTTACGAACTTGTGTGCTCCAAGCGTTGCAGCATCTGGATCACAGAGTCTCTCTTTGGGGGTGGCTGCGCACCTGAGCTCTCCCACTCGGGCCCTTAGGAAGCCATGAGACAATTACTCCAGCTGTGAAGCTGTGCTTATCATTCTGTGTGCTTTGCTTTCTCAACACAGGCGCTTTGATTACCGTCCAAAAACTGATCCTTACTGCCAAGCTCGTTACACCTTCTGTCCCACTGGCTCTGCTATTCCAGTTATGAAAGAAGATGATGTCATTGAAGTGTATCGATTACAGGCTCCAGTATGGGAATTCAAATATGGGGACCTACTAGGACATTTGGTAAGCCGATGTTTTTGTTTGACAAAGTTATAGTGGCGAATTCAGCTGAATTTGACAGCAGGTGGCAGGAATGGGAGCTGTAAGGTTGGGATATGCTTGTGTGGAAGAGTATTGGAGCACACAAGCTAGGCTATCTATAGGAAAGATACCCAAAGAGCAGTAAGTTTCAAACAAAAGTTATAGAATTTAGCTCAGCTAAAGAAGAGCATGACTAGCACTGCCAGTGGGTTTGACTGCGTTCCCCCATGGAGCTGCGTATTGGGAGTGTTTTGTATACACACACCGTTACATTGTGGGTGTCTTTTTTTCTGTGCTAGCACTGCATCAAGAAAACATGTTTATTTGTCCCCTTATGTCAGCTGAAGTGCTTGTTTAGTGTATTTAACTTTTCTGTTGTTAAAAACGTACATATTTGCATGAACATGGGTATCTGCCAGGAGTACACAGCTAGCTGGTCAGCATGGTTGATTGATTGCTTTTACGGTTCTTTCTTGGGTGTTATGATCAATATTGAATTAAAGTCTCGATTCATGGAATCATGCAAATATGAAAAAAATCTCAACTTTAGTGATATTTATAGCTATAGCAGCAGCATAATTAAGCTTCAAAGCATGATCCCTAATGAATAAAGAAATACTAGTGAACATGAAATAGCAACATCAAAACCAAGCACGCAGAGTGAAAAATGGAAATAGCTTCAAATATCATTATCTTAGTTGTTAAACTGAGGTTGAATTTATGTACTTACTATATAGCTTTTAAAATAAATATTTATCTCATTCCTTTTGTGGCTTTCATTACTAAGATCTGTTTTTAGTAACTCAGTTCTGCTCTTTTTTTCTTTGATACCCCTGTGAGGTTAAGGATGCAAAAGTAAGCTTGAGTTTTGATGATGAGCTCCCACTGAGTATCTGCCTCCAAATAACAGAATTTACAATGGATGGATAGACAAGCACTGAGACAGTGGGACTCTGTGATAAATGTATGTGCATGATACAATCTAGTATGTTGTACATCAATGCTACTGGGTCCCAGATGTTATAGGAACCTCTTCTCACTCTGTTACACAACAGTTCCCAAGCGTCTTATCTTCTGTACAGGTCAAGCTGAAGTTTGTTTTATGTTAAAATTTTGACTTTTGGGGCTTTTTTTTTTGCTTTTCCAGAAAATCATGCATGATGCTGTGGGTTTCAAGAGCTCTCTGACGAGCAAAAACTACACAATGGAGTGGTATGAGCTCTTCCAGCTTGGGAACTGCACATTTCCACATCTCCGGCCTGGCGTGGACGCACCATTCTGGTGTAACCAGGGAGCTGCCTGCTTTTATGAAGGAATAGATGATGCACACTGGAAGGAAAATGGAACTTTAGTTCTCGTGACCACAATATCAGGTAGACTTCAGATGCTTTGGTTGGTGCTAATATCATAAAATATAGAGACGGCCTTGTTTTCATGTAAAGCAGTGTCTTTTCATTTATGTTTTGTAGGTTATTTGCAATGTTAGTCACTGATGCTAATTTCAAACTGAAATACTATCTCTGCACTTTAATACAGAAGGCGGTATGAGGCTGCTGCCTTTTGAACAACGCACACTGAAGAGTTGTTAAATGAGAGTCATTTGGTGTTGCTGTACAAAAACACTTGAGTCTCTTGAGTGTAAAAATAGCAAAACAGCTTATACAGAACCATTATGGACTCTTTTCACATGGCTTCACCAAAACAAAGCCTTCTATTGCGAGGTGGCAGATGACTGCTGAGAGAGAAAAACTGGTGAAAATGTGTACATTACTGAGCAAACAAATAAGGCATATTTAGAAATAGTCTCAAAAATATAAAAAATATAAATCTCTATTTCCATCTCCCTCATTATGCGTCATAAAAACTGTGCAAATGTCCCCAGTAATAGGTCTCTGTCATAAGTCATAGAACAAAACCAGGATTCGTACCTCTAAATACGTGGATGATCACCAGAATACCTTCCTGGTATATACTGAACACTGAAATTCTAAAATAAAAAGGTAATTTAAATAAATCTGGTTGATTACTGTCATAATACAGTGAATGACTTATGAACAAAGTTCCCTGAGGGCTTGGAGAATTGCATTTTGGGTGACCAAAACCACTTACTCTCCGAAGTTAGCACAGTGTACAAGGCATAGCGGAGAGTCACATTACAGCTAGTGTGACGTGGTGCTTTATGGTTACCTGCTTCCACCTTTAGCAGCTTTGCTGGACTCGGTCTGTAGATAATCTGTCCAGTGCTGCTAAGAAATTCTAGGCTGTTCTTTAAGCAGTGAAATAAGCAGAGCTGCTTTCCTGTGAGTTTGTAGCTCATGGCTGAAGTCTTTGATGCCTGATATGGTTGGATTCTTTTGTATGAATACCAAGTTAAATATTTTCATACAGTTGTGGAACTTGTAATGCTTCCTACCTGTGTAGATTATTTGATGCCTAAGAAAGGTGAGGTTATGCTGGGGCCTTGTTGGAGGCATTGTTACGGTCCTCCTTGTCTCTCTTGCTTCCTGTTTCCATGAAACTTTTAGGAAGGTAGCTTCTCTGAGAGTTTTGAATTGTCTGAATTTGACTAGGAATCTGAAAGTTACCGTGGAAGAGGGTGATTGGATGCAAGCACAGATGGACAGCATCGTGAGCTGAACTTGCTTCCTTCAGAGAGCAGGCGAAAAGCATCCCATCTTGTGGGAGAGGGCTTTAACGTATGAAATAGCTGGACCCTCTTTGCCCTTGCGAGATCCTATGGAGCTGTTTGTCAGCAGTGTCAGAGACCACACTGAAGCAATCTCGTTTTCTTTTAAAGCCCGTCAGCCAGGTTAATGTTACTTAGGGGTGTGTTTCTTTTGTGGAAATAGGGCAGGAATATCCAAAGTCTGATTTTTTTACTGTCTAGGCATCTTCCAACAGATTATCATGGAGCCATGCATTAACCTGTAATATTTTTATTTAATTTAAGACATTAAGGCCAGAACTTCATATTAAGTCCATCTTGGTCTTGTTAGGAGAGAGAAATCCTTTTCAATACATGCCTGGCAGAATACAGACTAGGAAGCTAATGGGGTAGGAATTAGAGAAGATAAAGGGGAGCTTCAAGCCCATCTACAGTGTATAGTAAGTACAGTTCTTGATACAGATTTAAAGACTTACTGTTTTATTAAACCAAGTCATGGGCAATTGAAAAAGAAAATATCCAACACTTTCACTGAACAGAATGATGGTTAGTGTTTACTGTGAAGCCCAGAAGCTCTTAAAGTGTGGACTGAAGAACAGTTGTAACAGGGTAGCCTAGGAGGTGAATGTGCAGAGCTTTAGTTACTGGGAGGTAGTAACTCGCACATGTGCCTTACCTTGGGGTAAGTAAGCGTGAGATGTGTTTACTCTCTGATGAAGAGTAGCCCCAGCAATCTGACCTTTGCAGCTTGTTTTGGAGGGAGATGTGTGGCATGCAGTGCTCTTCATTGGTCTTGACGAATGCAACATTGCAGTGAATTCAGACTTAATGTGAGAGGCTGGTTGTTGTGTGCAGGACGGTGTTAGCGACACAGTTCTCTCTGATGTCTACCACCCCTGAACTGTGAGGTAACTGCTGCCAGTCTTTCAGCTTGCAACGGTCTTGCCTGTCTTTCAGCAGCTACCAAGCACAGTTACCGTACCCACAGCAGTGACACTTGCAGCTAAAGAGAGATCATGGCTTGGAACACTGTCACGCTTGCAAGCTGTCGTCTGACTGTGTCTTCTGACGTATCGCACAAGAAGAATCTGCAAAATTTGGCCGTGCTATGAATGTGAGGTGCTGGACGGATCGGAGCCATAGATGGCTGTACCCTGTGCTGTGACTGAGGAAAGAGAGGGCGAGAAAGGCTAGGCGGAGGTGCAGTGCTAGGACTACAGGAGAAAACAAAAGAAGGAAGATTAGCTGCGTGCTTTGGCTGTGTTTTGTGGAGGCAGATGCATCACATGTAAGGAGCTACTGGAGAGATGAGCTGAGTTAGAGATGTCTTCCTCATTCCACTTGTGAAATCACCAAAACATTCCAAACGTATTCTAACTAAAAAAAAAATAAATCCACAAGGTCTTTAAGTTTACTGGCCTTCACATCCCGCTCATATCATCTGGCTTAGTTCAACTTTACTGGCTGAGGAGCTGCTAAAACAGCAGGGTGTCTCAGTCTAAGGTTACACAGGCTTCTTTTGTGGGGAGACATGAAAACTTCTGCCCTGAAGTGCTGAATTTAGTTAAAACTTGAGGAAGCACAGAAACGCCTGTTGCACTGGTGAGCGCTTTGTCAGCATCTCTTGCAGATTCTATTACCTGCCCAGTTTGTCTACATGGATAAATCAATCAAAATGAGAAGCGTCATGGTTCTCCGATGTTTGGATGTTCTGGCACAGAAGCAGGAAATGGGGCTGAAAAAGGAATTACAGTTTAAATAACTTAAATGTAAATATATTCAGTGGGGTATCACTTCTCCTTCCAGCCAAAGCCTTGTGTCTTTGTATGGCTAGGTAATGCTATAGGTAAACTTTTGCAGGGAAGGGAGGCGAACCTTGAGATAGGTGGAAAATATTTTGAGTCATGTATTTGTTACCCTGTCTCTGTAATGCTTATTTTAATCTTTTACAGGAACCATGTTTAATGAAATGGCAAAATGGGTAAAATACGACAATGAGACTGGCATTTACTATGAGACCTGGACAGTTCAAGCAAGTCCCGACAAACAATCAATAGTATGGTTTGACGCTTACGAATGCTCTAAATTCATACTGAGAACGTACCAGAAGCTAGCTGACTTAGGAGCCGTATTTAAGAAGATACAAACAAACTATACCAGCATAATTTTATTCAGTGGAGAACCTATTTATTTGGGAAATGAAACATCTATTTTTGGACCTCAAGGAAACAAGACATTGGCAGCAGCTGTAAGAGACTTCTACTATCCATTCAAACCTCATCGGACAGTTGGAGAGTTTTTTGTGGATCTTTTAAAAATAATTGATCGTGTCATCTTGAATCATCAGTTTTACCTCTTCTACAACTTGGAATACTGGTTTTTACCTATGAAGTTCCCTTATCTCAAAATAATTTATGAAGAGGTCCCTTTACCCATTGGAAGCAAAACATCCTCTGGTGTATAATTGCCTGCTGAAGAACTGAACTTGCCCTTATGCCAGAATATCCTTAAGGATTTTGGAGCACGACCGTGATAGTATTAAAGTGTTGTATGTTTCACTGCTAACCGGAAAAGTTGTGTGGGGAAGGCGTGGCTAGGCCATATGAAAGACTATGCCTTTTTTCTTCTTACCTGCATAATACGTTCATGAACGCTTCAGCATCTCTGATTTGGCCACCTTCTGTGTAACCATGGTCACCGGGTGCCTGAAGGTAGGCTGATGTGGCTCCTCTTGGCTAAACTCTGCAGTGCCAGCAGGCAGCCCACCTGCGCTGGTCTCAGGCGCTTTCCACGTACGTGGCCATGTGGTGACAGACAGCACCTGGCCACCAACAGAGATGGGACACAAGCATTACAAGGACCTTCTGGTCCGACCAACTCTGCTAAACCGTGTGTTGGAGCTAGCAAACCTGAGTGCCTAACGTGCCCGGTGCCCTCAACGCGTGCCTTAGATCGGTGTTTCTGTATTTCTTTGGTTTGTACAGCTGGAACCTATGGACTGTTCCCTGGTTCATGAAGTAGGTGTTCGGCGGGGTGGGAAGGGGCAGTGCATCTATTAGAAGATGGCATGGGTGGTATCTTGGCGCCACTTTGCTTCCTTCACCTGCACTGTAAACACAATACAGATGGCTCTTCCTAAGATTTGTGTGTGAGTTTGCTAGCGCAGATAGATAGAAGGCAAACAGCCTGTTTTGATGTCAACTTTGATGCATAACTGCAGTGTTCTAGCAGTCACCTGTCTTAAAGTCTACTTGAGGCTTCAATTAGGTCAGTTTCATAGAAGTCATGTTTATATTCCTTTTACATTTCTTTAAAAAGCATGGAATCCTTAATAGGAAACACACAATGACAGTTTGTGGGGTGTCAAAGTCACAGTTAAAAATCAGCGCTTGTCACAGATTTGCCTGTAAAAAGCATTTGCAGCCTCTTACTGGCAGTGATGGTGCTGTGCCAGCTGCGGTGTCCTTGAGTCCTGTTCCTGGCTACGCCTAGAGCAGCTTGGCAAATAGTTCCCTTTAAGCCCATATGACCAAAGCCAAGGGAACACCGGCTTTCTGGAGAGCAGTGAGGTGCCTATACACAAAAAATACCTGCAGCAGCATAATCATCTCCCAGTGGATACTGCTGGCTTTTTTTTTTTTAAACCATTTGCAGAATGAGTAGCACTCCTGCAGAAGTTATTGCATCATGGCTAAGTAGTTAGTAACACAGGAACCCAACTCTGCAGTTTCGTTTGGCTTGAGCCAAGTTAATAGCCCGCTGCAGCCGAAGAGGGGAGTATACAGTGATTTGATTCAAATTGTAAGAATGGCAGAAAATTAACCTTGTATTAAAAAGTCACTAAAATTAATTACTTGAATTACATTATCATGTAATGGGATAAGCATGAGAGCTATTGTGAGAGAAATGAGGTGATGAGAGCACCTCTGTTCTGCGGGGGAAAGCTGCTAATTATTTCCACTGTTAGGTGAAACTTCATCTTCTACCTCAAATGGAAAGACTTGACGCTTCGCAGCCAAAGTCACAAGCCCTTGCTTTAACCAGCTGAGCTTCAGATCCCTTAAATTACCCACCAAGAAGGTAATCCAGGAGGCAGTAGGGAAGATAACGGGGTGCAGCAAGCCTGTCTACAGAAGGTACGTTCTCGTTGATGTATGGTTTTATGACTTAAACCCTCAGCATTGTTGAACCCACATTTATCTTCTCAGGAAAAAGCCTCAACCTCAAAACCAGTGTGCGAAGCTCTGGAGGGGAAATAGGATCATGGAACCAAGCCAGTCAAAGCCCCAAAGGCTGCTTCTCTAGCGTTAGCCAAAAAGCTTGTAGCATTGATGCAGCTAGAGCGACCTTTCAGAGCCTGAAGCAGATGCCATGGTGGGGTAGGTCATGCTCCCTCATAGTAGAGTAGAGGTCTCTGCTGAGCCTGACAGTGCTGTTTGTTCACTGTACAGTGCTTCCTTGTCTTCACACGGGACCTAGGGAGCCTACGCACCAAAGTCATTATTTTCTCCTAATAGTTGGGAGTATTTTGTGATGCATAGAAGAGTCTTGCAAACTGGAAATGCCAAATCCTGAAATACACAGGTAATAGTAGCTGAATCCCACATGTCTAAGCTGCCTTGTGCAGCTCCTAACAATCAAAAAGATGGGTGTTTGTGGACCAGTAATATCAAGAGAGATGATACAACAACTTGACATAGCTGACTTGTTGCAGAGGTAAAACCTTCATGATTATTGAAGAACTTGATCAAAAATAGCGGATGCCTGTATGAAAGTAGTAATCACTTTTCATGTCTGTGGTCAAACGTAACTTAATGGTTCTATCAGTACAAGTTTATAATATCCCGGGCTTTTTGTACCTAAATAACAGCCCTTCTCCCTTTTCCTATTTCATCTCTACAATCTGCTTAATTTAGCATGTTTTACTTTAACCCTAATACTCTGGATGGTACAGGCAGCTGCTTCAAGGAGAGACAGTTACATCCCAGCACGTATTAGTTGCAAGTTAGAGGATGGTAAATTGCTGGCAACAAAAAAAAAAGTGAAGACAACTGGACAGTTATTTGTTGTCAAGGACCCTGCATCCCTTCCAGGCAGAAGCAGAAAGCAGCGGCTATTGGAGACAGAATCTGTGAGTGTATTCAGCAGTAGGTCACACTGATGATAACGATGATTCCTCTTTATGTGTGCACGCAAGTCTGTTTCACTCTTTGGAAGACGGAGGAACTCTATCCTCAGCTTAATAGTACTGATTATCAGTGTAGGAGTTGCCCTTTTTTTTTAACATACGTGAGTTCCTTCTGAGGCCAGTATTTATTCCTTTTGGGCACAAGTGTTGGAGAGAAAGCCCAGAATAGATCCATAAAGATTACACTTTTGTCACTTAAAAAGCAAATGTTGTGACATTGAACAGCTTCTGTCCTCCTGATGACCTGTTGTTTGTGCCTGAAAACCATCTATTTAGCTCAAGCACTTGAGGTGGACACCTCCCTGCTGAAAGTCATACAGGGGAGCAGAAATAATAGGATCACACCTAATGTTTCACTCCCAACCAGCTGGTATTAGCACTTGCCTGATGGTAGGAACCAGGGGCTGTCCAACTGCATGCTCAAGGATAAGCTCCTACTTTCACCTGTCTCCAGTGAACATATCATTGAGTCATTACTCATGCTCTGAATACAGGAGCTATCAGTCACTTTAGACTGTGCTCGGTTCTGCTCCCTGCTTTTATGTGTGTTGCAGTTCAGGGTAAAAAATACGCGATCATTCTGCAATACAAGAGCTTCCAAGCCTGCACAGTAGTTTTGTGCAAAGCTGCTTAATTTTCATACCACTGAGCTGCTCAGGGCTGTAACCCACACTTCACTTCAGGAGGGTTCTCAAGCAAGGCAGTTCCTGGCTCGTCATACATCAAGGTCAAATACAGCATGTGGCTCCTGTTCCCCAAAGGACCATGCAATGAAAATAGCTGGGACAAATGCTTTCTGCCTTCCCGCTCACAGATGTTCTGGATTAGGAGAGCTGCTGCCTTCAGTACCGTAACTGAGGATGGTGTCAGTGATGTTGAGGTTCTTCTGGTTTTGAAGTCACCACGACTAGGGAGTAACTTGAAAAGCAGAGCAGGCTTCTGCTCTTCCACTTACAGTGGAGTCTAAATTAGAAGTCCAAAGCATCAAACAACCCCACCATCAGCCGCTGATTGCAAATTAGCAATATTAAATAGTGAAAATAGACGGTACCAGCCATCCAGAGAACATCGTATTTTCAGTCCAGGAAAAACGGCTAGAACGAAAAGAATCATCTCCTATGTCATGTCGTGCTTAAAGCACAGGGGGAAGACAGGACAGAAAGCACACCGCAATCTCTGTTTCAAAGCACATGAACTATAAGAGCCAGCAGTGGATGTGATCCTACAAGAAAAACCTAACAAAAAGGATGAACAGATGGGTGTACAGAACATCTGAGGTTAACTGTGGTTTCACTGTCCTAGTTTTGATACTGTTAAACTTCAATCCCGTCTCCAAGGAGCTTATTTCTACACCACCTGCATTTTAGGAAAATTAATGTACCGTTTGTAGTCTGAACTACCGACACCGAAGTTCAGAGTCCCTTTAAGATTTCACAGATTTCCTCATTAAATCAGTGCTCTAGTTTTATATACAGCAGCAGCGCTTATTTTTACAATTTGACATGTGACCAATTAGACCAGCCAGTAGATGAAGACAGATCTCTCTGAAGTAATGGAACAAAGCTTAGGTTTTAGTCAGGCCTACTCCAAATATAAAGAGACCCAGTTGAACCCTGCTTTAGATTCACAAGAAATTAACGTGGCACACATCAAACTTTTAACAACAATTGGAATAGATTAGGTAATTTCTGTCTATGTAGTTAGATCAGTTTCCATAACACTAGTGAAAGTTTCTGACTAGAAATCCCTAAAAAAACCCACGTAAATGTACAAGTTTGTAGTTTTAGGTGAATCACAGGACACTACAAAGTTAATGTAAGCAGCTGCTCTTGCATTACTCACCTTTTCACTTTTGACACATCTCATGGTAAGCTAGTGTAACTGGCCAGGATTAGCCCAGCTGTTTGGCATCAACAGCTTTCAAGAGTAATTTTACATCCAAAAACTGAAGTGATGTAGCACTTGTGTTTGGAGGTAAGATTTGCCACTGCGCACAGTAACAACTCCTACCCAAAACTGGACAACCAAGCCAATGCTGGATTATCTTCTTCTGAAAACAAGAAGGAAAGGTTAACGCAGGGGAAAATGGTATTATACAGCTATAAGACACCAGCGTTCATGTTTCTAGTGAGCTTCCCAACAGTCTATGGTACTCTCGTTCCTACTTGTGTAGGAATAATAAAAAATTATTCATTTTTTCCAACATGTGGAGAAGGCAAAATAAGAATTGCACCAGATTTTCTACAAAGCAGCACTGTCACTTCTCCTGAAGCTACTTAGAATATAGGCTTGCCTGGGAAGTTTGTTTTATAGCTGGATTATTTAAGATAAGGATGCTGTAATTGGTTTGACGTATAAAACCGCCGACCTTCAGTGGAAGGGAGATACAACTGCTTTGAAGTGCTTTTCTTACCCTTGAACATTTTGGTAACTGTTACAATACTGTGTCGCATCTCTGAAGGACTTTTTGAAGTCTAGGCAACAGAACAGAGACCTCAGAAGGGGCCAGCCAGTTACCTTGCTGAGGAAAGCAGTTCCATTACAACCAAGCATAAAGCCTTCAACTGCTAACATGTTCCCCACCTCAGGATCTGACGGAGTTCTCCCTGCGAGAAGCAGAACGCTGGGTTTCAAAGACGTGAATTCCAGACGCGAGGGAACTCGGGTATTTAGGTTGCATCTTACCTTTCAGTTATTCCCACTGCCACAGCAGTAAGCAACAGACCAACCTACCTTGCCAACATCAAGACACCAGCAAGTCAAGGTCCAAAGAGGTTTTAGCTGCGTGACTCATGAGATCACAGTAATTTAATGAAAACATGTCCTCTTCCCCAGATTAGTGGTGTTACTCCACCTTTATCATGCAGGCAATTCCCAGAGTCAGAATATAAAAAAAACCACTGGGCTTTTTTACTTTTACGGACTAAATATATTGACACCCTTTATACAAATAAAAGCAAATTATAGTATTACATTAATTTAACAAATTCTAATACAAAACCCGCATATTTCATAAAATGCGATTTTTAAATCGAAGCTCTACAGAAACATACAACTCCCCTATAGAGATGTCCAGTCCGCCGAGCAACGTTTGCTCAAAATATAGTTATGAACTTAAATATGCTCACAAGTGTATTACACTTGAACTATACATTTGGATAAACATTACTGAAATCAGAAATGAAGAAAGTCTGCTTATTACCAGACCTAGCTGTACAGCTCAAACGAGAAGAAGCCACCGGCTAAGTTCACTACAGCCCATAGCTGGAGCAGCTTTGCCTTGCTGGTGGCTGACCGCACCTTTCAAACACATTCAGCAGTCATGTGAAGACTTTAGCGTTACCAATCAACAATGTAAAAGAGAAAGTAAAGTAACTGATGGCAGTAAGAAGTGAAGTCACAAGCCACATCCAGATCACAGGCAATACGCTGCCTACACCACTTACAGACTAAAAACTTTCTGTAATAAAACTGATTTACCAAATATTCAAAAGAAGTTTTTGCCTATTGCTCTACTTCACGCAAGTTTACTGCTTTCAGGTTTTAAAATATTATGAAGTGATAGAACTAGCTGAATTAAAGGTATACAAAATGATCATCTATCAAACATTCACTTTATACATAAACATTTCTGAAACAGATTTACAGTATACAATTAGTTTATACAGCTTAAGCAACTGTTACAATGTCATTTCTCTCAAACTGAAAGCAGCCAAGAGGTCTAAGATTTTGTTAAAAGGTTCCTGGTCACCATTCAAATTTTAACTTTCACGTCTCACGCTGTTCACATCCGTCTCATCACATTTAACACTGCAGGGTTCGTTTAATAAACTATACATTATCCCATCTAACCGTACGCTGGTTAATGTGCAAGAAAAAGCTCATTAACTCCAATGCGTTTTTTAAATACAATGTTATCTACATTTTTCCCCAGAATGCTTTCGCTTCCTGAGCTAGACATAAAATACCTTAAAACAGGTTTAGACACAGATCTGAGACCCCATAAGCAAAACTACATTAAAATGTGCAGAGGGGAAAAAAACCACACCACTTTTGGTAGCTCGCACTACTATTTGTTTGCGCTCTAAATACATTTTAGATGGATCTAATCTGTTGAATAAGGTAGCAAACAATATTTTAATTTTCTAAACTACATTATTGTGTATTGCTCTTGCCTTTTATGACTTTTATATAATAGAACGTGTATATTTCACAGCCTACTAAATACTCCGTATAATCTTAATCTTGTCATCTGGGCAACTGGATTTAGGAATGCTATAGTCTGCAACAGAAGCATGCAATTTTGGTGGGGTTTTGTTGGTTTTTTAGGTCCAATCTCATTGCGTTCAATACTAGTATCTAAATCAAAGAAGGACAGCATATTAAAACTGGTATTTTGCAGGTACATTTCAATATTTTAAATACATTTTTTATTTCCATAAAAGTCTGAGGTCACTGTCAATGAAAAAGAACAAATCTGAAACAGAAACAGATTTTTGTTTGGATGAAAACGGGTTTTGGTGCTATCTGTGATTTCTGTTTTTGAATCTGGATTTCATAAATCATTTTTGAATGAAAAATTAATTTTCTAATCAAACAACGAAGTAACTTACAGTAAAAACTACAGCATTAAATATGCTTATACAGTAAATTGCAATATGGTAAGCTTGGGTTTAAGGTGCTATTCCATCCGCCCTGAAGTCTTTTAAGGACTTTACCAGGTGGGCATCATGTCCGGGAACCAGACTCTACCGAGATGCTTTGAAACTTCCCAGTGAATCTGCTCTAAGCTGTATTTCTGATCAGGAATCAAAACTTCCTCCATAATAGAAAGCTGAGAGAGACGACCGCCACACATCTTCACAAACTCAACAAAGGCACTGCAAGAGACTTCACATTCTCCTAGCCCAACGGCTGACAGATACTTGCAACGTTCTGCGATACGGATCAGCTCTTCATCCAGTGGCCGTAATCCATTGGCGCACACCACCAGTTCAACTAAGCGAGGGCACGTCATCCCAACGCGGCCGAGCACGTCTTTGCTTACCGATCTTCCAAAGTAAAGGTGAGTGACAGGTATTTCGTAACGAAAGAATGGGTCAAATTCTTCTTCATACAAGAAGAAGTACATTACTAAATTTACTTTAGGAGAATGCTTGATGAAAGCGTCCCAGCTGCTCTTCTGAATCGTGTGGAACTGAGTCTGTCCAGGATTTTCACTGACGACATCAATGCGCAAGTGTTCCAACCTGACATGTTTTTCAGAAGACAGAGCAAGCAGAAGCTCATCGCTCAGCAGGTGGTAGTTCAGCGCCAACTCACGTAAACCGTGACACTGGTCAGCCACGCAAAGGATACCTGGGGAAAAGAGAACGTCGTGAAAGGGGCTACACAGATAAATACACCAATGACTGAACAAGAAACGTAAGAGTGAGTTCGTTTATGTAGAAGAGGGTGCAAAGACCACGTATTTCAACATGCGATCGAGGCCTAACATCAAAACGAAATCATACTGGACAAGCAGAACATGAATCTTTTTCACAGAAGCACGGTCTTGTGACTTCTTTGTACCTACGTGGTAAGATACATGTACACTATGTGACTACATCGCTATTTTGCTAGGGAAATAAAGAAGTTAACACATTGCGTTTTATACTTTCCTGTGGGAGTTGATTCTCACGTGACAAATACATAAATAGCATACTCTTGACTGTTCTGCCCTGTTGTAAGGCGACATATACTCAAATTCATTTTTGTAAAAGGGGCTTACTGATAATAAAAGTATTTCCCCAGCCCGCTCTGGAAGAACGGCTGTCCCCCTCTGTGGCTGACAAAGCAGCCACGAATGGAATCTGTCACCTGAGGAAAGCAAACGTAAAACGAATGCTAGATTTTCATTGAATACAGAAGTTGCTGCTGCCAGTATTTGCTCTTTCTAGCAAAGTATAAATATTTAAATTATGAAAAGCAACAGCAAAAGGAGGGAAAACAATAAAAATCAGGAGCAGTAATTCCTAGAACAGTGATTTTCAGACTCTCCCTTTAATGAATCGATATAATCTGCTGCTCGTGGAAGACAGAGACATTAACAAAAAGAATTCAGTTCGATCTACAACATTTCTACTCATCCTGTTTGCAGATACAAGCAATGGTACCACACTGATAACAGTACTAAAAAAAAAAAAAATCCACTAAGAAAAGCATACAGTCCTCTGCATTTCATGTGACCCAGAACCGTGTGAAATTCAGGATATGGCCTTTCCATTAATAGAGGAGATGAGAACACAGCATTTAATACGCAACTGAAAAACCTGAGCTCAATACACTATACCTTTGAAGCAACGGGAAGATGTATAGAAAGACAGCAGTTATATTAAGATGCAGTTAATAAACTCAAAAGCCTATGCTGAGCTGAAAAACACTTTCTTTAAAAAAATGACTGTAAAAATATTCCATTGCATGAATATATACACCAAAAGAGTATGTATTTTCCATCTGAGGATCCGCAAGAACACATGCATCAGAAGCTCTTCTAACTATATCAAATACTGTCATTTCAAATATAAAAAGTTTGTTAAATGAATAAAAAAAAAGCAGAATTTAGGTAAACAAAATTTTAACCCAACTCTTATTGCAACTATTTCCTGTAAAAACAGTTCAGATATGTAAGCATACTCATTATTTCATTCAGGGGGGAGGGGATGATGAAGTGAAAATCCAGGATTTTTTTTTTTTTAAAGATTGGAGTACAGAATTAGAACAACTAAGTATAACTACAAACTTGTGTGTACCTTCTACACATTCCGGAGATCATCTCCCATCCTTAAGTCATAACAAACAAAGTTATTCTTACAGCAATACTCCCATAAGGGCTACTATGACCACTCCATTTAAGCAGACTCGGGCATATTGTTTCACAATACCTAGGTCTGCTGACACATGAAATATTTTAAACAGTTTCAAGATTCAGGTACATTGTCTCGTCACTACACAGTTTCCAAAAACAACTCGCTACAAATTTAGCACCCAAACCAGCTTGTTATCCAGACTGCCATCTTTCAAGCAATAATCCTTGTTAACTTTAAGGGTACGTTATTGACTAGTGCAATGCAAAAAGAGAAGAACTGGGGTTCATCTTGCTGCGATTTTTTTATGGGTCTAGGACTGGATATCCACACCACATACCGGCAGTGAAATTATGTATCCTGCATATAGAACTGACAATGAATACAGTGTAGGTAGTTACTGGAGGGCCTGGGGGAGCCCCTGCTGTAAGTGGAGCGTTCACAGAGCATCCCTAGGCACCGCCCAAACCTTGGTGTCACCGAGGGGTAAATCCCTTTGATAGCATACAGCACAGATTTGCACCAAAAAGAGCCCTCTACTAGACTGCTGATGCAGACACACATCCACTCTTTTCTCCTATCCCCTATTCAAAGCAAAGCAACCCTCCTACCCCGAAAGCAGAGCAGAAACACAGCCTTTACAGAAATGCTTTCAGTTTCCTCTGTTCCAATAGCTAGTATTTCAGGTAATAAACAGCAGCACATCAATGCGGATTTAAAAATAACCATTATTTTGTTTTACAAGGTACTGCTGCAGTTCTAATGCAAGTTAAAGTTCAGAGGGGAAATAGCAAGCAGAAGAAACTTCAGGAATGCTCACAAAGATTAGAAATACATCACAGCCTCTGTATTCCCCGTCCCAAACCCAAACACGCCTCTCTACCTTTGTACAGTAACTGAGGGATTATTCAGAGCATTTGGAAGCAATTCACAGTTTGATATCACCCTGTTTCCTTTATCCCCGCAGTAGTGGAGTCTCTCTTGCACTACTTGCATTACTCTTCTCTGTCCTTCACTAACAAAGTTCTTGAGAACCAATCTAGTACTGAACGTTCCCCCTCCCTCCCCCAAACTGCAATCTGAAGGCACATTGTACCATTTTCAGTGCATCTGTAAGTAATTAGTTTTGCATAACTCATGGCCCTTTTGGTTCAGTTGAAGTTTTTCAATGTTTATAGCAGCCTGCTAATTATATTCCCATTAGAAAAAAAATCCAGGTAAGTCTCGGTGCTCAAAGTTTCTCATTTTCCTTCAAGAGTCTCATTTTTGCAGCTTGCCTTCTCTGAAGCCAGCCATCCACATACCAGCTCCTTTCTTTTGTTCCACTTTTTTCTCCATCTCAAGGCACACCCATACCTGAATTAAGCAATCCAATCCTCCTGCCATTTGCTTAGCACTCTCTGGTTTTGTCATTAATGCATCTGATCCCATTCTATTCACCTCCACTCAATGAAGGACAATAATAGTTGTGCTCCTTGTTCCTTAAACAGGCGTTGCCATTTCGTACCCATTGTTCCTTCAATTTAAAACATCGTACAAGATACATCAAACGGAATACAACAGCCGAACAACTTCGTAAACCCATGCCCCTCTCCCAGATTATAGAGTGTATGATGTTCCGCAAAACCTTCTAGCAAGGATTAGCCACAAGCCAGCAGAGTCTGCTAGAGCTGACAGGTTACTCTTGGATCCGAGTCCAAGGAAATTACTCTCTTTGCCTAGCTGCAAATTACTGCTGGAGCCTCTTCCTCTTGACAGACACGTTACGGATCCTGTACTTCTCAGACACACAAGGATTCTCAAATGAAATTTTAAAAGTCAGAAAAACCAGTCACTCAAGCTAATTTAAGCAACCCCCTATCTAGCCCCCTATTACAAAGCTTTGAAGGAAGTAACATTCCAGTTGACACGCTGGTGAACACTTTGCTGGACAAGCCTGCTGCAAAACAAACCCGCATTTTCAGGACTTCTTTATACAAAACCAAACACAAGGTTTTGTTCAAGAGCTACACCTGCGAAAGGTATTAAGTTTGTGTTTTGTTTGTTATCACTACAGCAACATGCCCTCTGCTACAGTATCATTTCCCCCACATATCAGGAGTCCTGCTGGTGAATTTTACATATACCTAGTATTTACAGTTTCAATATATTTGCACGAAGAAAGTTATGGTGACTGCAGTAATTTCTACTTATCCTCAGAAGAGGAATTTAACTAAGTTGCCAGCATCTCATTTATAATTCCTCTTCCATTTCTCAGTGAAAAACTGTAAGGGTTAAGTTGATGGGCTGTGAATCAATCTTAAACTTGCTGTGCATTGCATAGATCTTCCACCAACGGTAATTCTGTGAGCTTCAACAATCTCAGTGCTTTCATTCTGGTACGAGCTGGCTTCATTCTTGCTACAAACACACTCGGAGTGTTGATGAAGTACATTTGGTAATGGCAGAATTTCTGCACAGCTCAGTCTTATCTCCCCTTTGTTGATGCTGTCTGCACTTATTCTCCAGCAAAAGATTAAACTGCTTTCTTTCAGAATGACTAAGCCAGCATCTTCATAATCCGTGACATTGCAACACTCAAAACCCATATATAATGAGCTGCACAAAAGGAACTTGCGTTCCAGAAAGCTTAATTATACTGGAATACTTAAATAGTCATCACAGAAGTAGCGCACCGTCAAGTCAATACATACTCTTTTTAAGTTCCACAAGAGGTTAGTTATCTGTCCAGACACGCACTATTTTATTATTAGCTCAGTATTCACTCTGCAAGCGCTGGGATGGATGGATTGACAATGAGCTGAATTAGTATTTTGTTCAGTGACAGTTGCTGTAGATACCACGTTCATCCTCACTCTCACCCCACCCCTATTTTTTCAGATTTTACTGGTTCAGACAGAATTTAATGCATACATTTAAAAAAAAACAAAACCAAACCACAGTAGCTTACCAGCTGGAGAAACATGAGGACAACTGCTCATTTTCAACAGTTTGAGCGTGTCACTGTTGTTAGCCACGAGCACTTTGAGAGATGGATCATCTACTGGTGTATCGTCAATCTTAAGTGAAGAGAGGGATTTGGAGTTTACAAACACCACTGTCAGTGCAGAAATAAAGTGAGACTGGAGAAAAAAAAAGTTTAAATGAAACAGTAGTATCTGAAATAAAAATCTCAGTGGTTTTATATATACTGTACACAGCAGTCCTAGTTTTCTTTTACTTACTGACAGCATTTGCTGAAAAAACATTCTTTTGATATTGCATACTTAAAAATTAATACTAAAATTGACATATTTTTGAGTAGAGGAAGTATAATAATTTTTTGCTCTCAGTCTACGTATTTGGCAAATCAGAATGTCTAACATTAAACATAAACCAAGAACCTGACCCAGGACAATCCACTACACAAACTTAAATCTACAGGAAGACCACGAGCAAAGAGAAAGCCTAGAAGCTCTACTTTTGAGGATAATTTGCAATTTGCACCCTAAAAGAAGCATGTTCTAGAACAGCAATTCCCATGAGGTGAGTTCTGCTGTGTTGGTGAGATGCAAACACAGTCAAGAGTGGCAACCCTGTACCGTTAAGATGTGTCCAAAGACAAACGGTACCACTGCCTGCCTACCATCCACAGAGAGTATTTAGGGTTTGAATGGATTTATCTAGCAAAGCTAACCGGAGTGGTCCAAACAGAGCCAAGGAGCAGGTGATCAATTAATTACCAATTAAGCAGCATAGATAATGGAGGTACAGTGCTCACGGTTGCTCCTCAGCATTTTCATGTAACCACTGAAACTTACCAGTAGAGAGAGCCCAGAACACCTTAACTTGAGAAACACAGACTAAGGAGCAGATACAGCAGTGCTTGTAGAAATCTTTGGTGGTATGAAGGAAGTGAATAATTAGCTTATCTTCATGATTTCTTACAAGATTGACTGAAGAGAAGACTTAAAAAAAGTACTTCCTCCATGCACTACATTAAGTATCCCATAAAATTACCTGCTACTTTGATTTCAGTACTGTTTCACTCTGACCCACATGCACATGTAGAATCCCGAGTACAGTTATAAGAGAGAAGGTCTGGCAACCATATTTGCTCATTCTTATGCGATATGTTTGTGGTTTTTCCTACAACTCACACACAATTAAGATTTAGAGCAGGAATTAATATTTTTACATTAACATAAACTGTCGAAGTCAGTTCATGCAAATGGAAACAGATAGTTCAAATCAGAAGAATTCGGCATCTTGGCTTCAGGGACCACTCCCAGCTATACTGACAATACTCTGATTATATATGTTATGTACTGAAGAAAAGGTGCTTTAATAGTATTTCCACTCTGTCTTCCAAAAGTGTTAGCACTGTGTTTTTATTCTACGTATTTAGAATGTAACTCCCTTCACTAAGAAGGCTGTTAAATAGAAAGGCAAAGAAAGTTAACCATGTTTACAAAAACAGGTAACTTGAAAACGTAGTTTGAAGAGCTAACGGAAGACAGGCAATATCCCAAAATTGTAAAAGCTGGTCATTTAATGTCTTTTCAATATTGCCACGCATGTAGCCTATAGTATGATTCTTTAAAAGATTCATGTAGAATATGCTTAATGAAAAGACTAGGCAACACAATGCTAAATGTGATTTACAAATATTTGCCAGATGTCACATTACTTGAAATCAGAAGAGCACTAATGAAGATAACGCAAAGTAGTTCAAACTTCTTATACAGTCTGATTAAAAAAAAAAAAAAAAGGAAATTGTGTAGTATTAACCATTTTTCAGATCCATTCATCTTTGCCTGCTTCTCATCCAATGGGCCTGTTACTAATGGCTTCCCACAAGAACTTATTCATGGTCCAATTCGATTCTTTAGTTTCGTTAGTGGTCTAAGAAAATTTAAAAATCATTGCTGGTCCCATATGCCAGCGACAATATTATTGTAGTGGTAAACATCAAAAGGCAAAGTATGCCTAGAGTTGATTTTGGCTCATTTTGAATATATTTTTTAAAGGACATATGTGCACCTATTAGGAACAAAAAAAGGAAGCCTGTATTTTAGAAGCCTTGAAGCCGAGTAAGACCATAGCATGAATGCTTACAAATAATTATTCAGCAAGCTGAATAAGACCGTAACATATCCCTCCAGTGAAAACTAAGCAAGAGAGCTAAAACAGCATTCAGATTAAGAAATACAACAATAAGCAAGAGCTAAAAGGACAAAGTATTTCTAGCACACTAAGACTGTGCATTGTTTTCACTATGTTCAGTTTTTCTTACAGTCACATTTCAAAGCACATCAAAAAAGGAAAAAAACATACAAAAATGAAAGATCTGAAAGCCTCTTTGAAAATTAAGGATTAAAAATATATATATTCAAAAGAACTACATGATGTGGCTGTGATCACTGCCAAGGATAATTGATAATGCTTCTGTAGCTAACCTTGCTTAAACCCTACAGCCTACTTCCTTTCCTGAGGCTGTCCCTAGTTCTTCCTTGTCCTTGTCGCCATCATCAGCAATGACATCACTGAGATCCAGCTAATAGTCTAATTGTATCTGGCCCTTCACATACATGTGGACTGGATTCAAGAATTGAGGCTGCGAGCCATCTGAAACGTCCCTGCCATAGAACAAGCAGCCCAGGTTATGCCAACCACTCTCCTGCTCCTCAGCAATAGTACATTTCTACCTCACTAGCAGGAATTCCTGTTTAGAAGCACATATATGCAGCGACCATGAAATGGTGGCGTTCAAGATCCTTAGGGCACCAAGCAGGGCGCGCAGCAAGCTCACTACCCTGGACTTCAGGAGAGCAGACTTTGGCCTCTTCAGGCATCTGCTTGGTAGAGTGCCATGGGACAAAGCCCTGGAGGGAAGAGGGGCCCAAGGAAGCTGGGTAATATTCAAGGACCACCTCCTTCAAGCTCAGGAGTGATGCATCCCAACAAAGAGGAAGTCAGGCA